GTGTCCCCATGTCCCGTGTCCCCATGTCCCCATGTCCCGGTGTCCCCATATCCCATGTCCCCGTGTCCCATGTTCCCATATCCCGGTGTCCCCATGTCCCGTGTCCCGTGTCGCGGTGTCCCTGTGTCCCGTGTCCCGTGTCCCGGTGTCCCCCCCATGTCCCGTGTCCCCGTGTCCCATGTCCCGTGTCCCCATGTCCCGTGTCCCCGTGTCCCATGTCCCGTGTCCCCATGTCCCATGTCCCCATGTCCTGTGTCCCGTGTCCCGTGTCCCGGTGTCCCCATGTCCCGTGTCCCGTGTCCCGTGTCCCATGTCCCGGTGTCCCCATGTCCCGTGACCCATGACCCGGTGTCCTCATGTCCCGGTGTCTCCCCCATGTCCCGTGTCCCGTGTCCCGGTGTCCCCATGTCCTGGTGTCCCCATGTCCCAGTGTCCCCCCCATGTCCCGTGTCCCGTGTCCCGTGTCCCCATGTCCCGTGTCCCGTGTCCCGTGTCCCGTGTCCCTCGTACCCGACGCTCTCGGCCACGTGTCTCATGGACTCCTGTGACACGAAGACGTGGCAGGCGAAGCGGCTCAGCACCGGGTGCTTGGTGATGAACCCGAAATAGCTGCGGGGGGGGGGATCAGGGGGCACCCCAAAACTGCCCCGGGCGGGCGCTGCCAGGGGGCGCCCCCAGAGCCACCCACGGCACCCCGGGGGCGCAGGGGACACCGGGGTGGCACCCTGGGTGGGCTGGGGGTCTCTTGGGGTGTCCCTGGGTGGGCTGGGGGTCCCTTGGGGTGTCCCTGGGTGGGCTGGGGGTCACTTGGGGTGTCCCTGGGTGGGGTGGGGGTCTCTTGGGGTGCCCCTGGGTGGGCTGGGGGTCCCTTGGGGTGTCCCTGGATAGGGTGGGGGTCCCTTGGGGTGTTCCTGAATTGGGTGAGGGTCCCTTGGGGTGCTCCTGGATGGGGTGAGGGTCCCTTGGGGTGCCCCTGGATGGGGTGGGGTTCCTTTGGGGTGCCCCTGGATGGGGTGAGGGTCCCTTGGGGTGCTCCTGGATGGGGTGAGGGTCCCTTGGGGTGCCCCTGGGTGGGGTGGGGTTCCTTTGGGGTACCCCTGGATGGGGTGAGAGTCCCTTGGGGTGCCCCTGGCAGAGTGGGGGTGTCCCTTGGGGTGCTCCTGGATGGGGTGAGGGTCACTTGGGGTGCCCCTGAATTGGGTGAGGGTCGCTTGGGGTGCTCCTGGATTGGGTGAGGGTCCTTTGGGGTGCCCCTGAATTGGGTGAGGGTCCCTTGGGGTGGTCCAGGATGGGACAGGAATCTCTTGGGGTACCCCTGGGTGGGCTGGGGGTCCCTTGGGGTGTCCCTGGATGGGATGAGGGTCTCTTGGGGTGTCCCGGGATGGGGCTGGGATCCTTCGGGGTGCCCCGGAATGGGGTGAGGGTCCCTTGGGGTGTCCCTGGCAGGGTGGGGGGTATCCCTTCGGGTGCCCCGGGATGGGGTGAGGGTCCTTTGGGGTGCCCCTGGGTGGGTTGGGGGTGTCTTGGGGTGCCCCTGGGTGGGCTGGGGGTCCCTTGGGGTGTTCCTGAATTGGGTGAGGGTTCCACTGGGGTGTCCTGGGATGGGGCTGGGATCCTTTGGGGTGCCCTGGGATGGGGTGGGGGTGTCTCAGGGTGCCCCTGGGTGGAGTGAGGGTCCTTTGGGGTGCCCCTGGATGGGGCAGGGATCCTTTGGGGTGCCCCTGAATTGGGTGAGGGTTCCATTGGGGTGCCCCTGGATGGGGTGAGGGTCCCTTGGGGTACCCCTGGCAGGGTGAGGGTTCCATTGGGGTGCCCCGGGATGGGGTGAGGGTGTCTCAGGGTGCCCCTGGGTGGAGTGAGGGTGTCTTGGGGTGCCCCTGGGTGGAGTGAGGGTGTCTCAGGGTGCCCCGGGATTGGGTGAGGGTCCTTTGGGGTGCCCCGGGTGGAGTGAGGGTGTCTCAGGGTGCCCCAGGATGGGGTGGGAGTGTCTTGGGGTGCCCCAGGATGGGGTGGGGGTGTCTCAGGGTGCCCCGGGATGGGGTGGGAGTGTCTTGGGGTGCCCCAGGATGGGGTGGGGGTGTCTCAGGGTGCCCCAGGATGGGGTGGGGATGTCTTGGGGGGCAGAGCGGGGGTGCCCCGGGTGGGGTGGGGGTGTCCCAGGGTGCCCCGGGATGGGGTGGAGGTGTCTCAGGGTGCCCCGGGTGGGGTGAGGGTGTCTCAGGGGGCAGAGGGGGGGTGCCCCCGGGGCTCACCAGCTGTTCCGGGGGTGGCACCCGCAGAAGGAGATGTTCTTCATCTGGAAGAAGTGGCTGCAGCGCTCGAACTGCGGCGGGCGGGGGGCGCAGCAGGGGCCGGGTCAGCTCTGGGGGTCCGGAGCCCCCCAAAATCTCTGCCCCCCC